GCGGCCTGGTCCCTGGGCGGCGGAGGCCGTGGGCGTCAGGGCGCGGGATTTTAGAGCGCTTTCTAAGTGGGTGAACGAGGTGTGATCGAAATATGCGGTGAATATTGTTTTTAAATGACTGTAGTAAAAGATTTGTGGCCACGAACCCCCTCAAAATCCTCCCCCTCGCTTGGAGCACACTTAATCCTCTTTCCATCTTTAGATGTGATCAAAAATACAACAGATGCTGCTGCCCTTGCCATTCATCAGAAAGGCAGTTCCTAAGAACATGACGCTGTGACCACGGAATCAATATGGAGATACCACAAACAACTAGGACTAGAAGTCCCATTTGACCCAGCCATCCCTCTGCTGGGTATCTTCCCAAAAGAATTAAAAGAATCACACCACAGGGATATATGCTCCCCCATGTTTATAGCGGCACAGTTGTAATAGCTAAAACTTGGAAACAGCCCAAGTGCCCATTAACTGGAGACTGGCTAAAGAAGATGTGGCTTTTCTATGAAATGGAGTACTGCTCGGCCATAAAGAATGAGAAACTAGAGACATGTATAGCTAAATGGATGCACATTGAGGTCACACTCTTTTAAGTGAAATTAATATGACACACATATAAATACTGAATAGTTTCTCTGGTGTGAAAATCTAAAAGTGTAAATAAGGATCAAAATGTATAATTGATATTGTGTAATAGGAAGAAAAGGTGCAAAAGAGTAGAAGTGGGAGGGGTATGGGAAAGGTAAAAAGGGAAGAGAAAAATATGAGAAAAGGAAAAATATGGAAACAAAACAGGAAAGGGTGGAGAGGGTGAAGGTAGGGCTGGGAATGGGGAAAAAATAAGAACCAAGATACATCATGTAAAGGTACAAGCTCCCAGTGATAAATGTAAATGTATACCTAAAATGTACCAATAAACTTAATTTAAAAAATGACCAGAGACAGGAAACATTTGAAATCGATTCAGGACCTCAAGGCAGCCAGGGCAGCTAAGACCCTCTGGAAAGAGGACTCCGGAGCTGCTGCAGAAAGTGGCGAGGACCATGGGATGGGTGTGCTCACAGCAAGTGAGGGAGGACTTGGAGCGGGATGCATGGCTGTGTGTCTTACTGTGAGTAATTTTAAAAATGTAAACATCCACCAGATTTTTCCATCCCCATTTTTCTTGCAGCTGCCGCAGCGGAGCCCAAGGCCCAGGGCCTGGCCTGACCAGCTGAGCCCTCCCTCCAGGACAGAAGGCAGAGGAGCTCTGGGGGCCTGGAGACAGACAGTGGGTCACCTTGGAGAGCTTGCCCCCTCCTGTCCTTCCCCGGATCTTGGGCCAAGGTGGCACAGTTGGGGGAGCTGTGAAAATGACTTCAGCCCAAGGCCATGGTAGAGCCCAAGTATTACCATGTTTCCTTTTCTAGTAAGGAAGACTCGGGCTACATTTGAATGCAGCAAATAAAAACAGAACAAAAACTTCACCAAATCCCCATTGTCCTATGCAAGGTTATTTTGTTACTTGATAGTTACAGTGACGTCTCTGCATTTTTCCCAGGCACTGCAGGATCCATAAATAATAACTCCACTACTTCTTACCAGAGCTTTAAATATCTAGTTATCTCATTATCCCAGCTATTCCCAAGAATTTTATAACAGGATCTGGGCTGAGATGTGCAAGAGTTGGGAGTTGTTTGTTTTGTTTTGTTTTGTGGCTGTGGTTGGGATGGGCAAAATGAGGAAAGAGATGAAGGGCAGGAAAGTGGAGAACAGCAGCCCAGGAGAGAGTTTAGTACTGGGGGCGAGAGGCCCAGTGACTGGTTTTGAGATCCCAGACTTGGCAGACATCCTGGCATAGGCTGCCTGCCCCCTACTGGAGGCTGTCACGGGCATCCCGCACTCACGTGTTTCCTTAACATCCCAGCAGGAGCACCTGCCCACGCCATCTTTCCTTGATGTCCTCCTATGAGCCTAAAAACTACACTCCTGCCTCTTTCATGCTTCCCCGGCCTCAGGGTGAGCCAGGAGCAGGTGCTGTAATTGCCCTTTAGGGGAACCCTGGGGCTATTATAATATCACTAGCATTATGGCCAGGCTTGGTTGCCATGCTGGTTCCATCTGGACCAGCAGAAAATCAAACCAACCCCCTCTGGACACGGGGGTGGAGACTCTCAGTTGCATTGAGCCTGGTCAGTTACCCTTAAACACTCCCCAGATCTAGGAAGAAAACAGAAAAGCCCAACCTTGCCACTCGCTGGAGTTGCCTCCTCTGGCTGTGCCCACCCTCTGTTCTCCAGGAAGGACTTTCGTGGCTGACAGGTGCCGCCAGCTTGGAACTCTCCCAAGTGCACTTTAACCTCACTCTAAAGCAGGCAGCCTGCGCTGGGTCTGTGAGTTTCCCCCTCGGCTCACTCCTGCTCTGTACAGTGTGCTGTTATAAACCACACAGGCACTGGCTCATTTAAACAGGCTTTTTGTAAGGAGGAGAAAAGTTTGTTCTGCTGAACAGAGACTAAAATCAGCGATAAATTCTAGCAGCTAGCAGAGGAAAGCAGAGTTTATTACATCTGTGTGTGGATGAACTGACACTGGGAAAGAGAGTTAGCAGCGGCTGGCTGGAGAGATTTCATCTGTGTGTGGCTGGGCTCACACCAGGAGAGAGCTATCATCAATGAGCTGGGAAAGGAATTAGGCTTCTACAGGTATAGAAGGGGCTGAGGAATCGGGTAAAATGGTTATGATCGAGTCTAAGGACAGTCCGGACAGGTGTGTAGGTAATCACTGGTGCCTGGGAGATTGTGTGCTGTTACTGAGAAACAGCCTGTTGTTTGCTGAGAACGGCCTGTTTTGCTTGGCCTTTTGATTGTGAAGAACTCTTGTAAGCAGGACATGGCATACACTTTTTTCACCAATTCTCTGTGTCCTGCTTCATTCTTTGTTCAGGATACAAAAATCCTAGTATCAGGTTGTAAGGACCAAGTTTTCAGGTCAAGGTGGACTCTCTCTGTGCCCCTTGCCCAGAACAGAGCTGCAAAAATTCCATTCTGTATAATTCCATTCTGTGTGACAGTCTCCCTGTGTTTCTGTTCCTCTTTTTAGGGCAAGCTGTCTTAGGGCATCTCCACCCTATTTCTGTTCCTCTTTTTATGATCTAAAGATGAATTCTTCCTGCTTAAAATAATCAATGTTTTTTAAAAGAAGGATTGATGAAATTGATTTAGCCAATATAAGTATTAGTTATAGCTTATATAGGTAGCCATTGCTAATATAGGCATTAGTCATTGCTTATATATGTAGTTTTTGTTAATTACAGAATTTGTTTAATCAGATGTTCTTTAAAAAGAGGAATTGATTTTGTGAATGCAGACATTAGTAATTTTCCAGTAAGTGCCCTCCCAGTACCCCTCAAATATCCAATAGTAAGCGAGAGCTAAAAATAGGACCTATAAAAGGAAAGAGTCTCCCTAACCCTATATAAGCCCGCTCCAAAGATGGATCTGGACTCTCAGTCTGAAGCCGCTGTGACAGTGGCACCTGAGGGTCCAGGCTCGAGGTTGCAATAATCTCCTCTTGTAATTGCATCGGACCTGACTCCTTGGTGGTCTTTGGGGACTTTGCGACTTGGGCATAAGAAGGTGAGACCAAGAAACCTGTCCTTCAGGTAACAGTTTGACTGCTGGGGTTGATAGTCTAGTTGTACTGATAGAGAGAACTTTTGTAAATAGTCTGAAACCTACAGAATGTTAAAGAAAATATGGAATAACCACTGCCTTTTGCTTCTGTGATTTTCTTTGCTTTGTGTGTTTAACAAAACACAGAGATGGTCGAAAGTGCAAGGTCCCGAGTTCCATCCCTGGAACCAAAAACAAAACAAAACAAAACAAAACACCTGAGGTTTCACCACTGAAGCTTAAAGGCACATAGTAGCCCCAGTTTAAAATTTACAAATGCTGGAGTTGCTTAGCTGCATCCCATGAGGAGATCAGATGTTTAGAACTAATGTAACACTCCCTGAGCGGTAAAACTTTCTGTAAACCACATGGCCATACAGGTGTTACGATGGAAGGAATGTCACCAGTCCTGCTTTCCTGACTCTGACCCCCACTCTTGTGGTCAGGAATAGCTAAAGAGAAACATCCTGAAAGAAAATGCTACGTTTGCGTTAACACTGAAACTGTCTTGTGACTTTGATTTGTGATGGGAACTAAAATGTCTTATTACCTAAAATGAAGTCATGATTATTAAGACTCCTATAAAAGACAGATTATAACACAGCCCAGGGTCAGTCATTTTGACACAGCTCTTAATGCAGACTGACTCTTTGCTAGCAAAGTAAACATTTTTTGTTTGATCCACTCTTGTGTCTCTGTGTATCATTTACCAGTTCCTTCCACAGCAGTACTATTATTGTGGATAGGTAAATTAGATATCTGGTAGGCAGTCAGACAGGGCCAGCCCCTGAGGAATAAGGAGTCAACATGGAGGACAATCATGACACATTCACCGAAGGCCAGTGTTGTTGGAGAGAAATTACCACACCCATGTGGAATAAATAGCAGTGATTGATGTTCTAAATAGGTATCAATCACCTGGGTGGGGATCAAGGTCTTTTAGGAAAGATTCCAGACCCACCCTTACTACCAAAAATTCTTGCTCATTCCTTGTAGGCTTGCTATTTGACTTGTTTCCCCATTGGATCTTCATTTAATCAATATTACCTAAGTGACTACACTTGTCATAATCTTATTGGTTGTTCATAGTTTTGTCCACCTTGTGATTTCTCATTGGATCAGTGTTACCTAAGCAACTGTACTTGCAATCTTACTACTTGACTATAGTTTTGTCCCACCTTGAACCCTCCTCACCTTTGTGGCTTTGTCCCATAAAACCCTTTGAGAAATTGGGCGAGTGGGCAACCCACTTTCCCATCTCCCTTCTGTCTCAGACAGAAGCTTTCTTTCTCCTAATAAATTCCTCGTACTCTTAACCTCTGTTGTTCCTAGAATTCATTCTTTGATTTTAGAGAACACAATTCGAGTTTTGGATATTTAGTAGGTTTGGGAGTTACATCTATCCCTGCTATATCGCTTTCTGTGGAGAGGTTTAGAGAAAGGATAAAATGAGAACTTGTGAAATTGATATGGGGCAGCAAGTAATCCAAATAAGGGAAATAATCCAAATAATGTAAGGGAAATATTGTTAGGGACCTGATGCTGCTATCACAGGCTGCATTTTCCTTGATGCTCACAGGAAAATGGTCCCCAAATCAGACCAGGTTTAAGTGAGCCGTTAGGAGTCCACACCTTTTGATTATCTAATTTATATTGAGGCCAGATTTGAGTGGATAGGCATATGAGCTGTTCAGGTTTTAGGTTTAAGTCCTCCAGATTTCAGAGCAAGCACCCCAAGGGAGAGTCCACAGCTGTGGAAGACCCAGACCCCACAGTGACCGGAAATGCGACTGGGGGTGAAGTCCTAGTCTCACGACATCTCTTGAGATTTGGAAGTCACTGGCAGTCTGGATTCTGAACCTAGAAACAGGGGACCCAAACTCCAAATGGAGACATCTCTACCATGAGAAGGGTGCCTGGAGCGGGAGGACTGTACCACCTTCTCGAGGCATCCAAAGAGAGGAGTGGGCAAGTCCCCAACTTGTCCAGTGAGCCTCCCGGAGGCTCACAATGGATGGGAGCCATGAGGCCTGGTACCCAGCTTATGTTCCGGATGGCAGTTTCGCTCCTGGCCACCTGAGTCCCAGTCCCTCCACACTCTAGACCATCATGAGGGGACTTACCCAAAAGTCTGGGGGCAATGGGATCAACTGTGCCACTGTTGTTTTGCAGGTTGGCGTCAGGGAAGATGGTCGCAGACTTTGGGTGGGCCAGTCGGAGCATCAGGGTCTTGGGTTTCAGGCCTCTGACCCTAAGTCAGGGCATCGGCAATCCCAGATCCCACTTCTGACACCAGTGTAGAGGCACAGCAATGCTCAACAACTAGGCCACACACCAAGAGGTCTGACAGGAGACTTTATTCAGGAAGGGAGGTTAGGGAGATAGAAGAGAGGGAAGAGAGAGAGAGAGAGAGAGAGAGAGAGAGAGAGAGAGAGAGAGAAGAATAGAGACAGGAGAGAGAAGGAGAGAGAGGAACAAAGAAAGGAAGGTCCTTTTATTAGTTTTGGGCTGGGCTATTGCTTATTTATGAGAAGTGGGCTACTTTTAACCTATCACAGGCCAGGTTGCCCTTTATGGGTTCAGTCCTGCAGAAACTCAGGTTTAACTTCTCCGGACTTCTGTGGCCTTGGGTGGGGGGGACTAAAGAAAAGAGCATGAGGACATTTTAAGAGGCAAGAAGAACCAGGAAAATGCAGCCTGTGAGGCAGCATCAGGTCCCTAACAAATATACTTCCCAACCTGCTAGATATCTGAAACTCTAGTTCATGTTCTCTAAAATTAAAAAATTAATTCTAAGAACAATAGAGGTTAAGACAGCTCCTGCCTGAGATGGACAGGAGGGGACAGCCAAAAAGTGGTTTGCATGTTCCTCTCCCACTTGCCAAAAGTATTTCATTGAGCAAAGCTATGAGGTGAAGCAGGTACAAGGTAGAACAAAGCTACCGTCAACTAAAGAGATCCAGTGGAAAATTACAAGGTGGGCATAAAGTGGAATGAGACTGTGATCAACCGATAAGATTACAAGTACACTCACCCAGGTTTCATTGATTAAATGGAGATCAAATGGGAAAACACGACCTGTGGCACACATACACACAATGAACAAGGAGTTTCCAGAAAGGGAATGGACTAGGGAGATTTTAGTCCCCACTTAAAGTAATTGGTGCCTATTTAGAATATCAATCACTGCTATTCATCTCTAGAGGAAATACATGGGTGTAGCACTTTCTCTCTTTTTGTAATGCTGACCTTTAGTGAATGTGTCTGTTATGTTTTGTATGGACTCCTCAGGGCCAGCCCTATCTTACTGCCTACAAGATATGTAATTGACTTGGCTGTCTACATAAAAACAGAGAAGCAAAGGCAATTTTTTTTTGAGAATTTTAATACTAAAAGCAGAAAAATGAGACAAGAGCCGTGAGGTGATGTCATGTCTAGCAGTGGACAGTTCACCATAATTGTCATGTCACGTCACTGCTGTGCTGGAAATCTGCTCCCTATGATCATAAACCCAGCACCAGTAAAAACAGAAAAAAAGGGCCTAAGTTTAATGTAACAAAAGACGATTTATTTGGGGGAAAAGAAGGAAAAAATAGGATAGACAGCTATCATGAGGTGGTAGGTGGCTTCAGCCAAAGGCCCATGAGCTCTGATTCCTGAATCCTTTTTGGGGGCACTAGTGTCTTCCCATCCTCCAGCTGGACACTTGTCCAGGTCTGATCTGTTCTCTTGACTCTTTGATCCTAGGCCAGTCTGCCTGCAGTCTTCCTTCTGGCCATTTGGTTTCCTCCTGTCCCTTTATAACGAATAATTGAAGGAGGAGAGCCTATTAGGAAGCCAGTTTACTTAATGATTAAGGAAAGGCGACACGAGTAATGTGCACCTGGTGCAATACTATACGATGTTAAAATGAGAACATGTATCCAGGTGCTGGTGTGTGTCTTACACATTAAACAGGACTCCTGAGGACTTGTATTTTGTCAGGTGAGTGGGGGGAGCTGGCTTTCCTGGTCTTTCGTTTCTGGCTTCCTCAGTGTTAAACCTTCTTGATAAATCCTTATGGTAATTGTGTTACCTGGTGTCCCCTCTTAGTCTAGTTTTTCTTTCCCTCCATCTTTCTAATTGCCATAGCTGCAGTCTACCTGTTCCAGCAGGAACAGCTCAGGAAAGAAGTGAGTGGCGCTCAGAGAGCTGGAGGGTAACTAACGTTTATTATGCCAGCAGGCCCAGAGGAGCTGTGACTCCAGATTCTGAGCCTCGAGCGGAGGTTATGCAGTTCTTTTTATAGTGAAGTTACAGAAGCAGAACAAGGCAAAGCAGTGATAGCTTGCAACTTAGCAAATCTGGCTGTCCTTGGTGGAGTGATGAAAAAACATGTTCCCATAGGAACAGAATGTCACAAAATCATGATCTATAGGAGCAGAGTTGTCAGGGCAAAGAACAGCAGCCACAGGGAGGAGAAAGATCAAAGGGGAAGATGATAGCACTAGTTACAGCATTCAGGGTATTACCTAACATTTAAGACTTAGTTTTTGTTTAAGTTTTGCCTTCCTCATCATATCTGTAGAGGTGGAAACTGCTTTTAATAAGTTTCTCTATTGATCTTAATAAAGCTCAGGGAGGCCTTTACCCTGTCTCACCCCTACAGTCGTTACCTCATGACAGGTGCTATGCCAAATGCTTTATGTGAATATGAAGCATCATTATCACACATTCCATGTCACAGAGAGGAGTGAGGCACAAAGAAGATAAAATACCCAGGTCCAACTTAGTAGTTGGTAGATTTGAGGTTCGAACCCTGGCTTTATGTGATGCAAATATCTTTCAAGTAGCTAAACCTTTAATATAGTCAACACATCACCCCTACATGAAGAGATAATTTAGTCGGATTTTCTGATAAACAAAACATGTAGGCTGAGAGTGTAGCTCAGTGGTATTGAATATGCACACAGCCCTGGGTTCAGACCCTAGTGACAAACAAATAGACTCGTATGCTTGACCAAAATATTTACTTGCAAATTACACAGCAAAATTCCAGTATAGCAAACCTTTTGATGAGAACTTTAATAATACACACTCTGTATGGAGTAAAATTTGTTTCATTTTCACTAAAATGAAACTTCTGCTAGAAAGATCACAATTTCAGATATTGTGCTGAGAAATAAGAGGCCTTCCCACATGATAGCTAATCCAGTCAAAATAATTGGCCACTTTGGTGTAAACTCCTGGGAACTCTGGCTTTCCACAGTTTTCACCCCAGCTCACAATGCCCCAAACGTAAGTCACATTGCTGGCATCCACGCAGACGAGGGGGCCCCCAGAGTCCCCTTTACAGGCATCAATGGAACCATCAGCCGTACCTGAGAAAGAGAAAGTCAAACATTTCCTTCCTTTCCTTAAGGCCGCCCTGTCTGTCTCCTCCACCACTGAGTTTAATGAATTTGGCTTTCTTACGCTTTCCTGGAAGAGTTTTGATTCTCACCACAATCCCATGAGGTAAAGCATCGTGATTTTGCCCACTTCATAGATGAAACAAGGCACAAAGAGATCAACCAGTGTGCCTCAGAGCACACAAGTGGCAGAGCTTTGACTTGGCCCTAAGCAGACAAACCTGAGAGTTTATCTTTTTTATTATTATTATTTTTTTTTTTTGGTACCATGGATCAAACTTGGGACCTTACTCTTGCAAGGCAGGCAGCAGCCCCACTGAGCTAAATCCCTGGTCTGAGAATTCATCTTCTTAACACGACCCTGGCTTCCAGTGGTTTCGAGTTATTCCACCCATCTGCCCACTGCCATCCTGAGCTGTTTCAAGATGGGAGCGTACTTTCTTCTCACTCGTTTGACATAAGTTTTCAGTCACTGTGGAATGGTCTGAGTTTTTCCCCAGGAGTCCATGTGCCGGGACCAGGTGCATCCATGTGGTTGTGGTAGGAGGTGACCCTAGTGGGAGCTCTCACGCCAGTGGGATTAAAGCAGAGTTGCCACAGAAGGAACAAGCCTGGTCCCTCCCTGTCTCTGGCTTCCTGTCTTTCTTGGGGATCGCTCACTTCCCACTGTGCTCCCACCCCTGTGGTGCCTGCGCCACGAGGTCCTCACCGGGTGGCTGACACCAGCGCCATGGCCATAAGACTCCACAAAGGTAGTTTAGTAAACCTCTTTTCCCCGGAAGGACCCGGCCTGTGCTCCCTTGGGCAGCACCTGTTCCATAAGGACCCAGCCTCGGGTGTTCAGGACAGTAAGGGCGACACTCACAGCAAAACCCTCAGGGCACGCACGCACCTGCACATTCCATCTCTTTCTCATAGTAGCGATTCTGGTAGAACTGAGAGCAGTTGCTTATCAGGTTAACTTCACCCCACCTGAGCGAGTAGACTTTTTGGTTATCTAAATAAAGTGAGAAAACACACACGTAGAAGTCACAAATGAGAAGTCCAAACACTCTTGTAGCAAACCATGTTTACATACACATTTACACCGCTGAGAACCGCTCCCTAGTGCACGCGTTCTCTCCCACTCCCCACGTGCCCCTAGTTTCTGTGATTGTCTGTCTAACTTGGATGGGGATGGGTAGTGCCGATTACTGGACATATATGCCCCGCGGTGCTACCCATTTAGTGAAGAGCTGGTGCCTGGAGATCGTGGGTTAGAGCCCCGCCCCTTCCGCAGGCGAGTTGGGTAGGAATCGTGACAGGCCCTTCTCACAAAACCCCTCCTAGCTTCTTCTTGCTCTTTACTTCCTGGAAAGTGCTTGTTAGCATGAAACCTCTAAGAAGTTAGAATCAAGAAAATGCACAAGCTGTAGCAAGTCACTTGTGTTTTCGTGTATCTCTAAGCACATTTGTCTCCCAAGCCATCTAACCCGATTAAAGGGGATTTTGAATTTCTTTTGGAGTCCTGTAAAAGTTTTGCGACTGGAACATCTTTGATGCATAGAAAGAAAGGACCAGGCTCTGTTTACTGCCTGGCCAGGGAAGAAGAGAAAAACCTAAGGACACGGGGGGAAGACGTTTCAGAGCCGAGAGGTGAATCTTGTCCCATCTCTCCTCTGTTCTCCCAGCTCACAGCAAATTCACACTGCAGTCTCTCATTTGGCGTCAGCTTCCTCACCACCCAAGGCTCCTGGAGGGAGGGCAGGGCAGGCCTCACTCATTTTCTACCATTGCCAAGATGCCAAAACCAGGCTAACACAAAGGAGCTACTTATTAATTACATAACCAATTGGTCCGTAAACTCAAAATGACTTAGTTATAAAGTTAAGAAGTATCTTATGCCAGATGATTCCCCTCTCTGCACCTTGAATACTCTATAAAGTACCTGGTGATAGGGCAGGCCCAGAGACCTAGCACTGTAGTGAGCACATGGTAGTTAAATATAGAACTAATACAGAAATGAAGAAATAAAAACCATCATGGAAAAATCAGTTTCCTTTTTTTTCTCCATTAAGACATATTTCAAGTTAGTCTCAAGAAGATTGCCTTCCTCAGAAGAGGAGCCATGTATTATTTCCCCAAACTCAGGGAAGGAAAATAGTGAATGATTTGACACGGCTCAGGAGATCCGCTTTCCCCTCTGCACTGTTGTGTTACAGATGTCTTGAGGCACTTGTCACATTCTGCCACTCGATGGGAGCCCTGGGTCTAAGGACCCTTTGGTGCTGTAAGCTCTTTGAGTCTGGCCTTTGTCTTTCAACTTTATAAACATTCAGCGCTTTGTTTGTTGACTAGGTCCATGTTTTCATCAACGAAATCCTGTCTCTTCAGCATTAGCATCTTTTAAAAAAATCTTTACACATAGTAAGAGCTCTGTAAGTGTGCTGAACCATATTTAAATATCCAACCAGCAGCTTAGAGAAAATACGCAGAATAGAAGAACACTTTAAACCCCAGTTCAAGGACAGAATCAGCCAAATTCAAGGCTACGAAAATAAGGATTCTCCAGTTGCTGTATAAATATCTTTTAAGTAAAAGGAAAGGACCACAGTTCTAGATTGAAATTAATTCAAGAAAAAAGAGCCATCAAATTCAATGTGTGAGCTTTGGATCCTGATTCAAATAATGATTGTAAAAATACTTTTGTAAATCAAAGAGGAACATTAAACATGGACTGGTTAGTAAATCATAAGACTTGCCTTCCCTTTGGGGAGGGCATGAAGATAGCATTGCGTCCTTGTTTGGAAAAGCTATCAGCTGAGTGTTCATGGGCGAAGCTGAGTGACACCTGGGATCTGATGTAAGTTTCTCTAGAAAGGCTGCAGGAGAATAGGTTGCACAGCCCTGGATCCAGTCTGCACCCTTCAGGGCCCAGCTCCTGGTGCTGAGAGCCTGACCTAGGAACGCCTACTCAGCAGAGGGCCCTGGACTGGGGTTTCCAGCAAGTTTCCCAGGAAGAGGGATGGAGAAAAGGTGACAGTGACACTGAGTTCCTTTGTAGCCTTTGCAGTCCCCCAGCTCCCACCCACATCTTTATCATTCATCTCTTCATAAACAGACCTTCCTCACTACCTGGGGAGACCCTGATAGATGTTGGGAGATAAAACAAGAACGGCAGAATGTTGACAACTGAAGAAACAGGATGACAAGTGAGGATTTACAATATTTTTATTTCTACATTTGTAGAAATAAAATGCATTATTTACAAATGCAAGGACATAATACTTTCTGGATGAGTTAATTCCTAATTCAGTGATTTTAGACATGTTGGGTATTCGAATACAGCACATATCCGCAAATCAACACATGTATATATTACAGTTGTCAGTGTGGCAGTTAGAATGTGTTGGAATATGAGTCTGAAAGATCAAAGCTGTGAAGTTACTCAGGGTTTCTGCTAAGAGAGAGAATTTGAGAGGTCAAAAGGAAGCTAAATTTCAAGGTTAAATCTTCAAGAAGAAGGGAAGACTTTTGACTGGTTCTAACCCAACTCCAACTTAGCAGGTCTCTCTCTCTCTCTCTCTCTCTCTCTCTCTCTCTCTCTAACTGCCTGTTTCTAATGTCCCTTCTCCTAGATAAGGGCTCCGAAGGTGAGCTCCTTGTGTTCTCTTCCTCACTGTGCAGCGGTGAGACACGGGGCTTGGGGAGGGAAAGAGGAGGATTGTAGGGATCAGTAATTCAATAGAGACATCAAGTTTACCCCCTAGCAAATCTTTCCCCCTTACCTATGGCTAATTTCTTTATGGAAACCTTACGTTTATACATCTTTGGGGGTACATTATGTTAATTTAAGGCATGTATGCAGTGTGCAATACTCAAAGCAGTATAATGAGCATTTCAATCTTTTCGAACATTAATCGCTATGTGTGCTGGGAAGTTGGTACTCTTCTGGTCATTCTGAAATGTGTCAGAGGTTGCTTTGACCTGTAGTCACACTGCTGTGCTAAGGAAGAAGCAGGTCATTCCTGCAGGGCTTCTCTGTTCCCCCTCCCCTCACCGGTCTCTAGGGACCTCTGTTCCATCCCGGCTTTCCTAACCTTTTACTCTCCTATCCACAACCCAACAACAGATCCAGGAAAACCTGTCTTGTGTGTCTTCTTGTCTACATATCTTGCTCTTGGCAAGCGTTTGCCCTTCAGTGGTAACTTCGGGGTCCCGGAGTGTATGTCACTGTGAAAGTCAGGAGAGGGGATGCTACATCATTTGTAGGACCCATGGGAAATAAAAATGCCGGGTGGGCCCTCTTCAGAAGTTAGTTAGCATCTCCTGATAGTGACAGCAGAGCAAGGACGTCACACTTGGGGCCCCGTCAGCATAGGGTACTGGGCAGGCACACAAGTCACAAGCCCACACTGGGTCTGAGTATTAGGAGATTCGTTCCCGTGTGGTTCTACTCCCGTTCACTCCCAACCTCTGGAACCTGATAAGAAAATTATAAAACGCATACCTTTTTCTCGACCCCAGCCAGAAATGATGCAGCTGTCCTTAGGCTGGAATAGATATGGAGACCAGGGGACACAGGCAGGGATGGAATTAGAGAACACACATTCTTTCTGGCTGGAACGTTTTTTTATTTCAATCAAAGCAATGTCATTTTGGTAGGTAGTTCCATTGTAGCCTTCGTGGATAATAACTCTTTCCACTCTTTCAACAATTATGTTCGAGTTAAGTTTTATCCAGTCTAAGAGTGAAGTCCATACTTGGTAATGGTGAGCTCTGCTAGGTCTATAGCAGAAAGAAAAAGAGAAATACAATAGATTGAAAACATAGAAATGAAATTCTGACTCTATATTCTCCCCTTTAATGGATGTTTGCATATTCACAGGTTTTACTTTTGTAAGCCGTGCTATTGTGAAGTGGTGAATTAAATTGACTTATGAGAGAATTAAGTCAATGGTAAATGTGGAGAAGAATAATCCTTCTAACTGTTCAATACCAGGAAGATGAAGAACTTACTGACACCCAGAGGTGCCCAGAGAGGTGTCCTTGCTGCTACTGGAGTAAGTACACTGTCACTGCAGATGTTCAAATGCAGACAGACCTTATCAGAGGTGTGGCTGAAGAACTGGAGGACTTCATGCCTCTGTCCACTCCAGAGGTTCTCAGGGAGAGGGGAACACAACAGTTTCTAGCTTGACCCTTCAGACTGGCTGCGTCCTAATGCTGCATGTATTCATACCAGGCCTTTCCTCCTGCTAGACTGTGCTGCTGGAAATCAGATGTGGGATCTGTTATGGTTCAGAGCTCAAAAGTACCCCAAAGTCTCCCACAGTCTGGAAGGTGATTGGGCCATGCGGTCACTGTTCACAGCTAAATGTTCTGTTAGGAGGTACAGGCTGCTTGGACGTGGGCCACCCAGGGTGTGACCTGGAAAGTGTATCCATGGCTCCTCCCTTCTCTCCTGCCTCCTGGCTGCCACTGGGTGAGCAACTGTTGCCCACCAGGCCCTTCCACCATGCTGTTTCTGCCTTGGAGCCAGCGGACCATGGACTGAAGCCACTGGAAACTGAGTCGAATACACCTCTCCTCCTTTAAGTTGTAGGCATTGAGGGACAGGAAGACTAGCATGGGGTCTAACTGATCCATATAGTCCCTGGTGTCTAGGGTTGTGCCTGGAACACAGTAGGTGTTGAAGTAGTGAGGAGTTCATTGTTTTTCTCACACTTCACTCCCTTTTCATGCCAATTTTCAAATCGTCAGTCAAGCAAATCAGCTATCTACCATTATTTTATGAGGGAAAACAGTATAGTGTCACTTTGGCAAAACATTACAGCTTAGTTTTGCTTGTTTTTGGTTTGTTCTGCTTCGTTTTTGAAGTCAGGTACTAAATAACAATCTCACGATCTAGTCATGCAGTGGTTAAGCACCTTGCAGAGCGTTCAGTGATAAAAACAGCCTGCTGTGTCATGCGGGCCATAGGTTCACCACCACCGGTCTAGTGTTTCCGAACAATGAAATACTGCATAAGATGGCTTCTCCATAAGCAACAAAACTTACACAATTTAATGGAAATTTTTAAAAAATGTAGTGTCCGTATACCCTCCGCTTTCTCAAGCATCGGAAACTGAACAAAACGCATCCCTCCATAGTGACGATTCAGGTCATTGCCTCACAGTGTAACACTGATGCCCTAGGCAGTAATGGGAGGTTCCAGTGCTGTTTTTATACTCACTGTTCCGAGAATGCTGTGCTCCATATTGACTTTGGTTGCACTGTATGATCAGAGGTCTGAATATTGCTCAAAGGTTAATTCTGTTTATTCATTCGATATGCTCAGCAAATACAGCTTGTGCACCCACTGAATACCAAGCACTGTGCTAGGCTCGGGGATGCAGAAATGAGCGAAATCAGAGATCATTCCCACTTTCACAGAGCTCAGTAGGGGGCCCTGGCCCTGAATACTAGAAGGTAATTTCCCAGTTACTAGAGTGCAACACGGGGTTTCCCAGGTGTGCCCCACTCAGCTACCCCAGCCTCGCTTTCTCTTCATCATTTCAGGACCTCTGAAATATGCTGAAGACATTTTTACCTGACGCAGTGTGCAGCGGTCAGAACCCAGCAGCCACCAATGTAAATTCCCCCGCAGTTGATTTTATCTCCATCCTTAATTGCCACCTGCCACGGGAAGTCTCCCTGCAAAAGACACGTATGAAGCCAGGGGCAGTCCACAGAGGTGGCCCTCGGGCGGCGCTGGGCAGCCTCGCAGTCTCACGGAGTCTCATCACCCTGCGCCCCCGACTTTGTACTGGAGTTTACCGCTTGTGCGGGCCTCCCGCCCACGATTCGCTTCCTTCGAGTGTGCACGGGTCTTTTGACGCCACAGGATATTCTAGGTAACAGTGATTTTATCCGTTTTCTTTCTTCAAGAAAAGGAGAGATTGTATCATTATTATTCTGAACCCCTTGCCTTGTGGACAGACACAGATTGGTTATATCCGCCACAAAAATAGGAGAGTCACAGTTAACACCAAACAGGATAGATTCATTAGTAAATTATTTTGAATGCCAAACTATACTATTTACTTTGATTAAAAATTCTGGTGTAATAATGAAAATTGGTTGGTTCTAGAAAGCTCTTCCTACATGTGGACTTGGGGCAGAGGGAAGCTGGCCAAGGCCGAGCACTTGGCAGCCTCCTGTGGAAGAGTGATGTCACAGTCTGGGATTCCAGCTCAGGAGGGTTCCTCTCCTGAGGTCAGCGGAAGAAGCTGATGACCCAAAGGGAGGCATCTTTTCACGCTCAGAGGGTCTACTCTCCAGCCCTTCAGGTGGAACTCTTTTCAATAATGTTAATGTTACCATTATGGTTTTAGGATTGAGTACTTTGTATGTGTCGGCTTCGAGACTCAGTACTCTCACACTTTATCTCACTTAATCATATTAAACCCAAGGTAATAGTCCAGAAAACGATGGACAATCAGGTCAGCAGGACATGTGGGCATGTGACCGGGCGGATTCATCACAGAGAAGACACGGGACAGCACGGCTTAAGACAGGAACTTGTAAGAGAATTCATGACAAAGGGAGAGAGTAAGAGCATAAGATGCTATCTTTTTTTTTCCTCATTGAGTTTATTGGTACATTTTAGGGATACAGTACAGTTACATTCATCATTGTGATCTTGTACCTTCACCTGACAGCTAGATGCTGTCTTTATTCTATGTCAATTGCCATGAACGTGTCTGTAAACTTTTCTTAGCCCTCAGTGAGAAAGGAAATATATTACTCTCACTTGCCCGGGGCCCACCCACACGAGCAGGCCCCCAAGAAAGAGGGGTGTGAATGAAGCCAGGTAGATTTCCGGTCAACCCCTACTCGGCACTAGTTCGGGGAAGAACTGATGGAGTCTTTGGGGTTCACTTGGACCTCCAAAGGAAGGGAGGCCTTCTCTGTTGAGAACCATGGAACCAGGCTGCGTAGTATCTGACAACCAATGCTATCTTGTGAGGAAATAAAGGGCTTTTGTTGAAAATCCCTTTTGACTGATTCTTGTGGCTTTGAGAGCTAAATCTTTCACTCATGGCTTGGTTAAAAATTTTGATAATTAATTTTGGGGTGTGGCAATTACAAGTGACTCTTACACAAATTTCATTTCAAATATCTCCTAAAATAGGGAGCTATTTTATTCCCAATTTGAGGTTAAATTTTCCACTTAAAGTTTTATGGCTACTAAATAACTGTATGAAGATTGAACACAGTCTGTGTGACCTAAGTGCTCTAGTAAATTACTATCTTCCTGAAAATTTAGTACTTTATATTTTCTTATATAAATAAAAACACCTGGCTGGATACAGATCATCAAAGGCTTCTGGTTTGAATAGATTAATATCTATTTTTTTTTGTTTGTTCTAGAAAGCATACCACAAGTCATTTTTGAAACTTGGTTGTTTTTGATAAAACTGACCTGACAAAGTTAATATCAAATAGAAAAATCATTATGTAGGACTAGAGAACCTTTTCAACTTCAAAAATAGTCCTATAAATTAACCCAGTTTTAAAAGCAGTTCTCAAGAATCACTCATGCTTGTTTTTCCTAAAGTGATAAGAAAAGGAGAATATTGTTGTATTGTTCAATTTATATTTATATCAAAATTAACAGTTGCTTGAGTAAATTCTCTCTCTCTCTCTCTCTCTCTCTCTCTATATAT